CAGCAGCATCATCATCAGCAGCAGCATCATGGTCAGTAGTAGCATCATCATGATCAGTAGCAGCATCATCATGATCACTAGCAGAATCCTTAGCAACAGCATCATTAGTAGCAGAATCATTAGTAGCAGCATCATTAGTAGCAGCATCATCATGATCAATATCAACATCATCAGTAGCAGCATTATCAACATCACAATCAGTAGCAGCAGCATCAGCAGCAGCATCAGCAGCAGCATCAGCAGCATCAGCAGCAGCATCAGCAGCAGCATCAGCAGCAGCATCGCACTGAATAAATCCACAACGATCAAGCGACATCATTATTATGAAAGCCACCATTAATTGATGATGATGATGTCAGTGATGATGATGCCAGTGATGATGATGTCAGTGATGATGATGCCAGTGATGATGATGTCAGTGATGATGATGTCAATGATGATGATGCCAGTGATGATGATGATGTCAGTGATGATGATGCCAGTGATGATGATGTCAGTGATGATGATGTCAGTGATGATGATGCCAGTGATGATGATGTCAGTGATGATGATGCCAGTGATGATGATGATGTCAGTGATGATGTGAGTGATGATGATGTCAGTGATGATGATGCCAGTGATGATGATGCCAGTGATGATGATGATGCCAGTGATGATGCCAGTGATGATGATGATGTCAGTGATGATGATGCCAGTGATGATGATGATGATGCCAGTGATGATGAGGATGTGAGTGATGATGATGTCAGTGATGATGATGCCAGTGATGATGATGCCAGTGATGATTATGATGATGCCATTAATGATGATGTCAGTGATGATGATGATGCCAGTAATGATGAGGATGTCAGTGATGATGTGAGTGATGATGATGTCAGTGATGATGATGATGTTAGTGATGATGATGCCAGTGATGATGATGATGTCAGTGATGATGATGATGTCAGTGATGATTCCAGTGATGATGATGATGTCAGTGATGATGCCAGTGATGATGCCAGTGATGATGATGCCAGTGATGATGATGCCAGTGATGATTATGATGATGCCAGTAATGATGATGTCAGTGATGATGATGATGCCAGTAATGATGAGGATGTCAGTGATGATGTGAGTGATGATGATGTCAGTGATGATGATGATGTTAGTGATGATGATGCCAGTGATGATGATGATGTCAGTGATGATGATGATGTCAGTGATGATTCCAGTGATGATGATGATGTCAGTGATGATGCCAGTGATGATGCCAGTGATGATGATGTCAGTGATGATGATGTCAGTGATGATGATGATGATGCCAGTGATGATGATGATGTCAGTGATGATACCAGTGATGATGATGATGGCAGTGATGATGATGTCAGTGATGATGATACCAGTGATGATGATGCCAGTGATGACGATGATGTCAGTGATGATGATGATGCCAATGATGATGATAATGCTAGTGATGATGATGTCAGTGATGATGATGCCAATGATGATGATACCAGTGATGATGATGATGCCAATGATGATGCCAATGATGATGATGATGTCAGTGATGATGATGCCAATGATGATGATGCCAGTGATGATGATGATGATGATGCCAGTGATGATGATGATGTCAGTGATAAGGATGATGTCAGTGATGATGATGATGATGTCAGTGATGAGGATGATGATGATGGCAGTGATGATGATGATGGCAGTGATGATGATGGCAGTGATGATGATGATGGCAGTGATGATGATGATGATGGCAGTGATGATGATGGCAGTGATGATGATGATGATGTCAGTGATGATGATGCCAGTGATGATGATGATGGCAGTGATGATGATGATGGCAGTGATGATGATGGCAGTGATGATGATGATGATGGCAGTGATGATGATGTCAGTGATGAAGATGATGATGTCAGTGATGATGATGATGTTAGTGATGATGATGGCAGTGATGATGATGGCAGTGATGATGATGGCAGTGATGATGATGATGATGGCAGTGATGATGATGATGATGGCAGTGATGATGATGATGATGGCAGTGATGATGATGGCAGTGATGATGATGATGATGGCAGTGATGATGATGGCAGTGATGATGATGATGATGGCAGTGATGATGATGATGTCAGTGATGATGATGATGCCAGTGATGATGATGATGGCAGTGATGATGATGGCAGTGATGATGATGATGGCAGTGATGATGATGATGGCAGTGATGATGATGTTGGCAGTGATGATGATGGCAGTGATGATGATGATGGCAGTGATGACGATCATCAGTGTGGTGACGGTGAACTGCGGATGAGCTGCTGATGAGAGCGCTGCAGATCTCTTCCCGGGGAGGAGAGAGTGGGGGGAGAGGGTGGGGGGAGAGGGTGGGGGGAGAGGGTGGGGGGAGAGAGTGGGAGCATGGGGGAGAGGGTGGGAGGAGAGCGTAGGAGGAGAGAGAGGAAAGTGGGAGGAGAGAGTGGGAGGAGAGCGTGGAGAGAGTGGGAGGAGAGAGTGGAGAGAGTGGGAGGAGAGAGTGGAGAGAGTGGGAGGAGAGAGTGGAGAGAGTGGGAGGAGAGAGTGGAGAGAGTGGGAGGAGAGAGTGGAGAGAGTGGGTAGAGAGAGAGGAAAGTGGGAGGAAAGAGTGGGAGGAGAGAGTGGGAGGAGAGAGTGGGAGGGGAGAGTGGGAGGAGAGAAATTAAAGTGGGAGGAGAGAGTGGAAAGTGGGAGGAGAGAGTGGAGATGGTGGGAGGAGAGAGTGGAGAGAGTGGGAGGAGAGAGTGGAGATGGTGGGAGGAGAGAGTGGAGAGAGTGGGAGGAGAGAGTGGAGAGAGTGGGAGGAGAGAGTGGAGAGAGTGGGAGGAGAGAGGCTGTGAGGTGAGGAGAGAGTGGGAAGAGAGAGAGGAGAGAGTGGAGAGAGTGGGAGGAGAGAGTGGGAAGAGAGAGAGAGGAGAGAGTGGGAGGATAGAGCGTGGTCCGGTGGAGTGTGAGAGAGAGTGTGAGAGAGAGGGCGAGAGAGAGGGGAGCGAGAGAGAGGGGAGTGAGAGAGAGAGAGGTGGGAGAGAGGGAGCCCACACAGGGAGAGAAAGAGAGACGCTACACGGGGAGAGAGGCACTCTCTTACACAGAGAGACGTGGAGAGAGACAAGGAGAGATAAGTGCGGTGAAGATGTGAGATTTCGAGAGAGATTTAGAGAGAGATTTCGAACTTGGAGAGACACAGAGAGAGGAAAGAAAAAGAGCGGTGCACGGGAGAGGGTGAGACACACATAGACACACACACACATAGACACACACAGCACAACACACACACACATAGACACACACAGCACAACACACACACACGTAGACACACACACACGTAGACACACACACATAGACACACACATAGACACACACACACATAGACACACACACGTAGACACACACGTAGACACACACACGTAGACACACACACACAGCCACACACACAGCACAACACACACTTACACACACAGCCACACACACAGCACAACACACACACACACAGCCACACACAGCACAACACACAGCACAACACACACTTAAACACACAGCCACACACACAACACACACACACAACAAACACTTATACACACAGCCACACACACACAGCACAACACACACTTACACACACAGCACAACACACAGCACAACACACACTTACACACACACACAGCACAACACACACACAACACACTTATACACACAGCCGCACACACAGCACAACACACACTTACACACAGCACAACACACAGCACAACACACACTTACACAGCCACACACAAACACAGAACCACGGGAGCTGAGTTGCGTGAATGTATCACAACAGCCACTCAGACAGTCGCGCAGTCAGACAGACAGTCACACACACAGTCGGGCAGACAGGTAGACACACAGTCGGACAGACAGTCACACACACAGTCGGGCAGACAGGCAGACACACAGTCGGACAGACAGTCACACACACAGTCGGGCAGACAGTCACACACACAGTCAAACAGACAGTCACACACACAGTCAGACAGACAGTCACACACACAGTCGGACAGTCACACACACAGTCGGGCAGACAGTCACACACACAGTCGGGCAGACAGGCGGTCAGTCAGGCAGAGGCACAGTCTGACAGACAGTCGGACGCAGAGTCGGACAGAGGGTCGGTCAGACGGGCGCAGAGTCGGACGCACGGACCGAGGCAGACGGAGAGAGACACCCAGAGAGAGCAGAGAGAGAGAGGATAGAGCGATAGAGGAGAGACACCCAGAGAGAGAGAGGAGAGAGCGATAGAGGAGAGACACCCAGAGAGAGCAGAGAGAGAGGAGAGAGCGATAGAGGAGAGACACCCAGAGAGAGAAGAGAGAGGAGAGAGCGATAGAGGAGAGACACCCAGAGAGAGCAGAGAGAGAGGAGAGAGCGATAGAGGAGAGACATCCAGAGAAGAGAAAGGAGAGACACCCAGAGTAGAGAGCGAGAGGAGAGAGCGATAGAGGAGAGACACCCAGAGAAGAGAGAGAGGAGAGAGAGAGAGAGGAGAGAGCGATAGAGGAGAGACACCCAGAGAGAGAAGAGAGAGGAGAGAGAGAGGATAGACACCCAGAGAAGAGAGAGGAGAGACACCCAGAGAAGAGAGAGAGAAGAGAGAGGAGAGAGCGATAGAGGAGAGACACCCAGAGAGAGAGGAGAGAGCGAGAGAGGAGAGACACCCAGAGAAGAGAGAGAGGAGAGAGCGATAGAGGAGAGACACCCAGAGAGAGAAGAGAGAGGAGAGAGAGAGGATAGACACCCAGAGAAGAGAGAGAGAGGAGAGACACCCAGAGAAGAGAGAGAGAAGAGAGAGGAGAGAGCGATAGAGGAGAGACACCCAGAGAGAGAGGAGAGAGCGAGAGAGGAGAGAGCGATAGAGGAGAGACACCCAGAGAGAGAAGAGAGAGCGATAGAGAGACACCCAGAGTAGAGAGCGAGAGGAGAGAGAGGAGAGACACCCAGAGAAGAGAGAGAGAGGAGAGACACCCAGAGAAGAGAGAGAGGAGAGAGCGAGGCATGGTGTAGCAGCAGCAGCAGCAGCGTGAGTAGCGACATGAGGGATTTGACGTCCGTGGAACCGAAGCCCCTGGTGTTGGTCTGCTTCGTGTGCGGCAGCGCCGTCCCTCTGGGGCGCGAGACCTTCCTCAATGTCACGTCAACAACAACATCAGCAACATCAGCAGCAACAACAACATCATCATCATCATCGGCGGCGGCGGCGTCAAAAGTTCCACACTTTCCCTTCCTACAATTCCAAGACGCAGCTCCCGGCGCCAGCTCCGTGTGCCTCCGCACGGGCACCGTGGTCTCCTGCGCAGTGTGCCACAGCTTCCTCGACGCGCAGTGGCGGTCGTTCGAGAGGTCAAGGACTCCACTGGACAAGAGACTATACTGGCTGAAGAGACCGCACGATCTGGGTGGTGGTGCTGGTGGTGCTGGTGGTGCTGGTGGTCATCACGACGTGGGCAGGAGCTGGGATGTGATCGATAAGGGGTCTCTGACACCTTCGCAAGTTCAGCAGCAGCAGCATCAGCAGCGGCATCAGCAGAGGATCCAACAACAACATCATCAGCAGCAGCAGCAACAGCAGCAGCAGCGCTCTCAGAGCGATGTCTCTGTGAGCATTGATCCAGAAGATGACGACGATGACGACGATGATTATGATGATGATGATGGCGGTGGTGGTGATGAAGACGGTGGTGGTGGTGGTGGATTTCACGACAGAGTTGGCGAAATGTTTCATCAACGAGGAAGACAAAGACGCTGTGAGAACGACGACGGTGGTGGTGATGGTGATTATAATAATAATGGTGGTGGTGGTGGACGCATCAACATTGACAGCCAAACCCTTTTCAATCAACGTGGGCATGCGAAGTCAACCACCACAAGAGCCCCCGATGACGACCGTGATGACACCGCTGGCCACGAAGCAGCACCAACATCATCATCATCAGCAGCACCACCAACATCATCATCATCAGCTGCTGCTGCTGCTGATGATGATGATGTTGGAGGTGGTGGAGGAGCGTGCGTCTTGTGCGAGACGTGGGACAGTCGCACGCTGCTCCTGCACGCGAGTCGAGGCACCAGAGGTCTCCCATTCTTCCCCTTCCTCGCCGTCGTCAGCCTCGCCCTGGGGCCCCCCGCCGTGAGGGCCCCCCACGCCGTGAGGGCCCCCCACGCCGTGCGGGCGCCCCCCGCCGTGCGGGCGTGCGCGCCCTGCGGCGCGGCGTTGCTCGAGCAGTGGCGGAGGCACGAGAGGGGCGGGGTCAGCGTGGAGGCGCGGAGGTACGGGGGGAGGTACGGGGGGTGGGGGGGGAGGTGGGGGGTACGGGGGGTGGGGGGAAGGTGGGGGGGGGGTCACGCTGATAATGATGACGATCAGCACCAGCAGTGCCATCAGCAGCTGTGTAACCAATAAGATTGCGATCAGTTGTGTCATCGCGATGAGCAGCATAATTGGGCAGTGCCAGCAGTGCCATCAGCAGCAACATCATCAGCAGCAGCAGCGTCATCAGCAGCAGCAGCAACATCATCATCAGCAGCAGCAGCGTCATCAGCAGCAGCGTCATCAGCAGCAGCAGCGTCATCAGCAGCATCATCATCAGCAGCAGCAGCAGCGTCATCAGCAGCAGCGTCATCACTATTATAGTAGCGTCGGTGTTATCATCAGCAGCAGTAGCAATAGTATCATCAGCAGCAGTGCCATCAGTAGTTTCATTGTGAAGTGAGGGCATCATCATCATCAGTCGCAGTGCAGTTATAATATTGAGCCAGCATCAGTGCCATCATCATCGGCAGCATGTGTATCATGATCAACATCAGCAGATCATCAGCATCAGAGTACTATTCAGCAGCAGCGTCATCGTTCGCTAGTTTCCCACAATGCAATTGGGTTGTGACCATCTCACAGAGCAAACCTGGCGATGTCACCATGGAAATGTCGTGTTAAGGGCATTTGAATCGCACAAATGCCGAGCTGCCGCATATCGAGTCTCGAGACTCGTTCGTCCAGAGGGGTGTCGTTGTGACGAGTTTAGGAGATTGTGCCGCATGCTCTCGGTCATTCCACGGCAGCGTGGCCTGGCGTGTGGGGCACCATCTGTTGACGTCACGACACCCTCCGCCACAGGGGTGATGGATGGGCCGAGATGAACAACCCCACCCGGCTGATTCTAATACCGACCCTTGCTGGCCAGGCTCCACGTTTTAATCAGACCGCATGCCCGGGGCATGGATTGGATCGTCACGTCCCATGATGGCTTGGGGAGGCCTTCATCCAGCAGTGGATTGATCATGGATGATGATGATGATTATCCATTTTACAAATGAAAAGGAATCAACCACAGGACCTCTGTGGTGCTGGCCCAGTGTCTCTGACGCTGTCATAATGAACCCCCTGAGAGACAGAGAGAGACACCCAGACCCAGGGCTCGAACCTTCAACCCAGCATCTCAGCTGGTCTAGCCCAGTGTCGCCGACGCGGCCATTATGAACCCCCTGAGAGACAGAGAGACACACCCAGACCCAGGGCTCGAACCTTCAACCCAGCATCTCAGCTGGTCTAGCCCAGTGTCTCTGACGCTGCCATTATAAGCCCCCTGAGAGACAGAAAGAGACACTCAGAACCAGGGGGTGAACCCAGCATCTCCAATTAGCACGGTTGGATATGTATGGTGGAAAAGAAGTTCTACATACATGAATTGACACCCACAGACTCACATAGACCCACAGACTCACACAGACATCCAGACTCGCATAGAGACTCATAGACTCACACAGACACCCACAGACTCATAGAGACCCACAGACACCCACAGACACCAACAGACCTATGAAAACCCATAGTACAGAGATCCATACGCACACAGACACCCATAGTCTCACATGGATTGACAAACTCACTTCTTTCGAACTGCTTTTTGCGTCTAGTTTATTGGCCTTCCACTGCACCTCCGATTAACACGGTTGGCTCTGCACGGTTCGAGAGAAGTTCAACGTACGTACGTAGCACATTACGTACATGCAAGAGCAGCAGCAGCAGCAGCAACAACAGTGGCGGTGTGTGGCAGGTACATCGCTCGGGTGCGAGGCCAGGTGGTGGAGTTCGGGCCCGACGGCTCCGTCCACCGCCCACTGCCCAAGACCGAGTTCCCGGACGAGCCGGCGGTTCACGCCGCCGCCGCCGCCGCCACCGCCGGCGCCGCCGCCCCGAGGCTTCCCGCGTCCCCGCGCGTCGTCAAATCCGAGTCGGAGTCCGAGCCGCCTTCTCAACAGCTGCAGCAGCTGCTGCTGCCGGCCGCAGACGGCCGACGCCGCGGCTCCTCCTCCTCCTCCTCGGCGTCATCCGTCGTCACCCGCTGCGAGCTCTGCCGGAGGCCGCGCGACCGCGGGGAACCGAGCCCGGCACCGGATCGCCCGTGGGTGTGCCGCCTCTGCGATCGGGACGAGGTCACCGGGCCCTCGCCGGGGGCCTCCGGCGGGACCTCCGCCGGGGCCTCGACTGCGCCCTCCGTCGCTGGGCCTTTTGGCGCGAGCGGCCCGGCGGGTTTACCGGCGCCGGAGGTCCGCGGGGCGCCTTGCCGTCGCTGCGGCACCGCCGTGGCCGCCTCGCGGGAAGGCCCACGGTGGCCGGGGCGGTGGTCCGGGCGGCGCCGGAGACCGCGCCGGGGCGGAGCGCGGAGGCCGGAGCGAGGGCCCTCGGTGGCGATGCGTGGCGAGGAGGTGCCGGAGGAGGACGAGGTGCCGGAGGAGGAGGAGGAGGACGAGGAGGAGGAGGAGGAAGAGAGGATGGAAGAGGACGAGAGAGATATGCCGGGCTTCGTGTCCCGACCGACGTGCACCGCTTGCCAGCGGCTGGAGGCGTTTGCGGTAAGTTTCGGTTGAACTCGGCGAGTTTCGGTTGAACTGTTCAGTGAGTTTTGGTTGAATTCTTCGGTGAGTTTCGGTTGAACTCTTCGGTGAGTTTCGGTTGAACTCTTGGGTGAGTTTCGGTTGAACTCTTCGGTGAGTTTTGGTTGAACTCGGCAAGTTTTGGTTGAACTCTTCGGTGAGTTTCAGTTGAACTCTTCGGTGAGTTTCAGTTGAACTCGGCAAGTTTTGGTTGAACTCTTCGGTGAGTTTCGGTTGAACTCGTCAAGTTTCAGTTGAACTCTTCGGTGAGTTTTGGTTGAACTCGGCAAGTTTTGGTTGAACTCTTCGGTGAGTTTCGGTTGAACTCTTCGATGTGCAGTTTCCGTTGAACTGTTTGTCGAGTTTCGGTTGAACTCTTGGATAAGTTTCGGTTGAACTCTTGGATAAGTTTCGGTTGAACTCTTTGTGAGTTTCAGTTGAACTCTTTGTGAGTTTCAGTTGAACTCTTCGGTGAGTTTCGGTTGAACTCTTGGATAAGTTTCGGTTGAACGCTTGGATAAGTTTCGGTTGAACTCTTGGATAAGTTTCGGTTGAACTCTTTGTGAGTTTCAGTTGAACTCTTCGGTGAGTTTCGGTTGAACTCTTGGATAAGTTTCGGTTGAACGCTTGGATAAGTTTCGGTTGAACTCTTGGATAAGTTTCGGTTGAACTCTTTGGTGAGTTTCAGTTGAACTCTTTGGTGAGTTTTGGTGAAACTTGGTTTCTAGGGATGAGCCGGTCGGGGTCCGGCATTCGCTGCTTCTGTAGAGGCCAGAAGCGCATCATCGTCTAGCACTCCTGGCTAAGTCGTGGGGAAATGCCATTTGTCCATGAGTCAGTCTGTCGGTGAGTTAGTCAGTCTGTTGGTGAGTTTGTCACTCTGTCGGTGAGTTAGTCTGTCGGTGAGTTACTCAGTCTGTCGGTGAATCAGCCTGTCAGTGAGTTCGTCAGATTATTGGTGAGTCAGTCTGTCGGTGAGTTAGTCAGTCTGTCGGTGAGTTAGTCAGTCTGTCGGTGAGTTAGTCACTCTGTCATGTGAGTTACTCAGTCTGTCGGTGAGTTAGTCAGTCTGTCGGTGAGTTAGTCAGTCTGTCGGTGAGTTAGTCACTCTGTCGGTGAGTTAGTCAGTCTGTCGGTGAGTTAGTCACTCTGTCGGTGAGTTACTCAGTCTGTCGGTGAATCAGCCTGTCAGTGAGTTCGTCAGATTATTGGTGAGTCAGTCTGTCGGTGAGTTAGTCACTCTGTCGGTGAGTTAGTCTGTCGGTGAGTTCGTCAGATTATTGGTGAGTCAGTCTGTCGGTGAGTTAGTCACTCTGTCGGTGAGTTAGTCACTCTGTTGGTGAGTTAGTCAGTCTGTCGGTGAATCAGCCTGTCAGTGAGTTTGTCAAATTATTGGTGAGTCAGTCTGTCGGTGAGTTAGTCACTCTGTCGGTGAGTTAGTCACTCTGTCGGTGAGTTCGTTAGATTATTGGTGAGTCAGCCTGTCGGTGAGTTAGTCACTCTGTTGGTGAGTTAGTCAGTCTGTCGGTGAATCAGCCTGTCAGTGAGTTTCTCAGATTATTGGTGAGTCAGTCTGTCGGTGAGTTAGTCTGTCGGCGAGTTCGTTAGATTATTGGTGAGTCAGTCTGTCGGTGAGTGAGTCACCAGTGAGTTAGTCTGTAGGTGACTTCGTAAGTCTGTCGGTGTGTTGGTCAGTGTGCGTGTGTGTATATCTACCTGTGTGTGTATATATCTATGTGTTTGTGTATATATCTACGTGTGTGTGTATATCTATGTGTGTGTATATATCTATGTGTGAGTGTGGATGGGGAGTGGTAGTGTAGCGGTTAGCGCCCTGCGCTAGGAACCCGGTGACCCGAGTTCGATTCCCGCTCGCGGACACAAACACCAGTGACCTTCATCTGAACCAGTCTTGGGCTCTACTAGGTAGACTCAGCCTCAAATGCATACCTGGTGCAGTGTGTAAACATCCACAAGTGGGGAGACAAAAGCGCCTGGGCGTGGGGCTGCCCCGGCCTTCGTAGGTGCTGCCCGCTAACAGCACTTGCCCCAACAGTCTGTTAAGGCTATACGGGGGGGGAGGGGGATCTTTGTGTGTGCGTACGAGTGTGTGTGTGTGACTGTAATCTGGTTTGTGACCACACGTGGCCAACACGTGGGACACACGTGGTACACTCTCCCGTCGTGCAGCACTCCCATGTGCCATAGACGCCCTCCGCTCTGAGACTCCGGAGTCGGAATGAGCCCCGAGCCAATGCTTGGAAATACCCACGTTCCTATGGCGGGGCCGAGTCATCCCACCGTACAAATCACTTTTAATTCCCCACAAAGTGCCGTTCATTTTATAGACCATCAGGGAAGGGGTGGGGGGGGTGATGGGCTGAGTCAACGCCACCAGGCCGGTTCTAATGCTGCAGTGACCAGCTCGGCACTGCTGTGGTGGCTGGTGAAGTTGTGAGTGAGTGCGTGTGTCTGTGTGTGTGTCTGTGTGAGAGTGTGTGTGAGAGAGAGTGTGTGAGTGGGGAGCGGTAGTGCAGCGGTTAGCGCTACGCTGCGCTATGAACCCGGCGAACCCGAGTTCGATTCCCGCTCACGGCCAACAACCGGTGACGATTATCTGCACCGGTCCTGGGCCTCCCCTAGGTTGACTCCGCCTCAAATAAGTAGTTGCCTGGTCCACTCGGGAAACAAAGGCGGCCGGGCGTGGTGCTGGCCACCCACCCGCTCGTGCGCCAGAGCGCCGGCCTTCATAGGTGCTGCTCGCTAACAGCACTTGCCCCGACAGTCTGTTACAGGCTACACGGGGCATCTTTGTCTTTGTGCTGGAATGCTGTGGTGTTTCCGCTCATTGTTTGATCCTCGCGTCTGGGAACCGAGGTCACACTCGGAACGCAAAGACAAAGTTCCCCCGTGTATCCACAGCAGTGCTGTAGGGGCAAGAGCAGCGCCTCTGGATGCCGAGCCCGACCGCCTTTGTCTCCCCAGTGGCGATGTTTTTTTCGCACCGCGTTCTCATTTGAGGCTGAGTCGACCTAAGAGAGGCCCAGTACCGGTGCAGATAATCGTCACTGGCGGTGTTGGTGGCCGTGAGCGGGAATCGAACTCGGGTCGCCAGGTTCGCAGCGTAGCGCTAACCGCTGCACCACCGCTCTTTATAATGATGATGATTGTCGTGGTGATGGCGGTGATGATGATGATGATGTTGGTGGTGGTGATTGGTGATGTTGTTGGTGGTGATGATGGCGGTGGTGATGATGATGGTGGTGATTGGTGATGTTGTTGGTGGTGATGATGGCGGTGGTGATGATGGTGGTGGTGATGATGATGGCGGTGATGATGATGGTGATGATGATGATGGCGGTGGTGATGATGATGTTGGTGGTGATGATGATGGCGGTGGTGATGATGATGGCGGTGGTGATGATGATGTTGGTGGTGATGATGATGGCGGTGGTGATGATGATGGCGGTGATGATGATGATGTTGGTGGTGATGATGATGATGGCGGTGGTGATGATGATGGTGGTGATGATGATGATGGTGGTGATGGAAATGTTCGTTACGATGATTTTGGTGACCAGCAAAGTATTCTGTAACCAGCCACTGCGTCCCTGTGACGTCAGCGGCAGACTTCTCTAACCCTGACACATCGCCAGTGGGGAGACAAAGGCGGCCGGGCGTGGTGCTGGCCACCCACCCCCTCGTGTGCCGTGCCGGCCTTCATAGGCGCTGCTCGCTAACAGCACTTGCCCCAACAGTCTGTTAAGGCTACACGGGGGAACTTTGTCTTTTTGTGTGTCTTTCTGTGTGTGTCTGCATTTGTGTGTGTGTGTCTGTGTATGCGTGTCTGTGCATGTCTGTGTGTGTATGTCTGTGTGTGTCTGTGCGTGTGTGTGTCTGTGCGTGTGTGTGTCTATGTGTGTCTGTGACTATGTGTGTCTGTGCGTGTCTGCGCGTGTCTGTGTGTGTCTCTGCGTGTCTGCGCGTGTCTGTGTGTGTGTCTGTGTGTGTGTCTGCGTGTGTCTGTGTGTGTCTACACGCCCCTTCATTCACCCTAAACACCCAACACCCCTCTCCCTACCCCCGCCCCCCCTACCCCTCTACCCCCTAACCCCCTCTCACTGGAATTCAATCGGGGGAGGGGAAACGCTTGACAGTAGTGACTTAGCTCTGTGTGTAAGTGTGAGTGTGTGTAGGTGTGAGTGTGTGTAAGTGTAGGTGTGAGTGTGTGTAAGTGTGAGTATGCATGTGTGTATGTATGTGTACCTGGCGACCTGAGTTCAATTCCCGCTCACGGCCAACACCAGTGACGATTATCTGAGCCACTGGGGAGACAAAGGCGGCCGGGCATGGTGTTGGCCTCCCATCCCCTCGTGCGCCGTGCCGGCCTTCATAGGTGCTCGCTAACAGCACTTGCCCCTACAGTCTGTTAAGGCTACACGGGGAATCTTTGTGTATGTGTGTGAATGAGTATGAGTGTGTGTGTATGTGTGTGAGTGTGTGTGTATGTGTGTATGTATGTGTGTATGAGTGTGTGTGTGTGAGTGTGTGTGTATGTAGGTGAGTGTGTATTATGTGTGTATGAGTGTGTGTGTATGTGTGTGAATGAGTATGTGTGTGTGAGTGTGTGTGTGAGTGTGTGTGTATGTGTGTGTGTATGTACGTGAGTGTGTATGTTTGTGTGTATGTATGTGTGTGTATGTGTGTGAGTGTGTGTGAGTGTGTGTGTGTGAACGTGTTGAGTGTGTATGTGTGTATATGTGTGTGAGTGTGTGTGTATGTGTATGTCTGAGTGTGTGTGAGAGTGTGTAAGTGTGTGAGTGTGTATGAGTGTGTGTGTATGTGTGTGAGTGTGTACGTGTATGAGTGTGTGTGCGTGTATATGAGTGTGTGTATGTGTGTGAGTGTGTATGTATGTGAGTGTGTATGAGTGTGTGTGTGAGTGTGTGTATGTGTGTGAGTGTGTGTATGAGTGAGTG